CACTGGAACTTCTGTCTCCTTCCAGCCTGGGAAGTCCACACCTGGGATGGAAAGACACAGCTTGTTCAAGCAGTGAGGTTTACATGAAAGCTCAGTTCATGTTCACTAGAGGATGAAAAATTTGCCCTTTTATCCATGTGGTTGGGGTTATTTTCAACTAATCAGGAGATAAGGATACGAGAGAGATATTTTCATTACTTCTTTTTGTAACTTTTGTTCACCAGCACTCAGTCAATAACTCCAAAGGAAATGGGGTAATTGAAATGAGGCACAAAACACTTTGAAAATGTCTTCCCAGCTCTTACTCCTGCAAGGAGACTTCTGGAGGACAGTTTCTTTCTCCCCACAGCAAGCTGATGTGATAGCAACTCAAGCAACTGTCTGAGGACCAGTACAAGAGGGATGCCTTCCTCAAGTCATTGAACCCCCAAAATACTACAGAAGGAATACACCCTTCCTCAAGCATTGCTACCCCAGTCTACCACAGCATTCAACCCTGGGATAGCAAATTCTAGCAAATGCAGAGTTCTAGGACATGCATCTCCCTCTTGACTACAGCTGATGACCTGCACATGGGTGTGTGATACATACATGGCCTTGCAAATTATATAAAACAAGCTGTACTGGTATTTAAGTAGTTTCAGTGAGTGCAGTACAGTCAAGCTGCAAAGAACTGCTCTCTTGAGAGCTCCTGGCAGCAGGGTAATACATCCCAAGAGTCTGAAAAATGCATTTCCCTCCCTCTCCTCTGCCAAAGCAAGTACAGGTAGTACCATACCTCCAGAAAATGACCTGGCCTTGGGACGCCATGGTCACAGCATCTACGGAGACAAGTCAAACACCAGGTTCCTGAAGGCCTCACACTGTTCAGCACAGCCCCTGTCTGCTGCATGATACATCCTCCCAGGCTGTCCTACTTAAATAACTGAATGCAGCTAAGGAGTGGTGAGCCCAAGGAACTCTCAGGAATGAGGAAACTCTGAGCATCTCAACTCCCCCCACCCCCAGGGCAGTCATAAGCAGGGAGGCCTGGTTAGACACCGAGGCAACAGGAGAGACCTTCTACACATCCATTTAAGAAACATGTCTTATTTAAAACAAAAATATTACAGCTCGTGGTTGGTAGCCAGCTGAGCAACAGGAGAGACCTCCTTCACATCCATTTAAGAAACATGTCTTAAATAAGACAAAAATATTACAGCTCGTGGTTGGTAGCCAGCTAATCCTGGGATCTGAATGCACAAGTGTCCCAGGTGATCTGCAGCTTACCCATCCCTGAGGGGCTGTGTCATAACCAGGACTAGCTCAGGTCTCCCTACAAAAATCTCCAACCACTTTCTTGGCACTGGGCAGAGGTTCCACCTGAGGGTGCCTCTCCTGGCCCCATTTGCACTGTCTCCCCTGCCTCTCTGTGCTGTGCTAAGAGGCTCCTACAAGCTCAGCAGTGCTCTCAGAGCCACACAGGTTTGGCAGCAGCCCCTTTTCTGACTGCTGTTTAATCCCACTGAACTCCTTCAGGCCAAACACCTCTCACCCTCCCCCAAGGCAAGTTCCTGCTGCTCTTAGGTCTGCCAGGGTGGTGCACTTTGGAGCATGTAAAGGAAAGAAACTGGCACTTGCAAGGCCCTGCAAGTCCTTCCCTCTGAGCTTGGTTTCAGATGAGGCTTGGGGCAGGATGAGCAGCTCTTGGGCATAACAGGTTGAGAAGGGCAGAGAGGTTGTGAAAGAGAAGGGAAGGCAGCTTGCACCACCATGTTCAGTTTCCCAAAAGGGAACCTGCATATCCTGACATCTACATCTGGACTGTGCTCCGGGAAGTATGGGAAAAAGGGGATTTTTGACAGTCTGTAGTTATCTCCAGCAAGTTTGGATGGTTAGTGGGAGTGAACAGCTTTCCCGTGCAGAGCTGAGGATGCCCAGAGGAACTGGGAACAGTCCAGCACCTAAAAAAACCAAACTACTTTATTGGCAATAACCAGAGGTTAAAATCAAGACCAATCAATACTGGTCAGTGGTGATAATTATTAAAAAAAAAATCATTATTTGTCAGCATTCTGCTGATTATTAAGCCTCTCATAATTTAGCAGTACAGTAAAACAAGCTAAGAATAGCTCTAGGCCACAGTGGCCTGGTGGGAAATGCACATTGAGAAATATCCTGTTGCCCTCGGTGACACTTGAGTAATGGCTGTGGTGACACCTGATTTACAGCTGAGTGTGCAGTGGGCGGACAAGGTGTCCCCTTTCCGCTCCAGTTAACTCCAGGTCAGCCACAGCACACCCCATAGCACAGTCAACAATCAGGTTACATCTACATGGGAGCAACAAGTCTGCTTCTCAGGCACAGGCAGCCCCAGCAGGACCAGGGCCAGTCCTGTTCCCAGGGCAGCACCACATTCGTTTCTGAGCAGTTCATGCTGGAACCTTCTCCTGTCTGTATTCTCCTACTGCAAAAAAACCCAAGAAGTGGTCAGGATAGTTCCCAAAGAAACCAATCTGTGACTACATGATCTGCCCAGCTCTTACCAATCTTGAATTTATTACCAAATCCAACCAAATGTGACAGCAGGATCTGGTCCCACATGGTCTGTGAGAGCTGGTGAACACCTGGGACACATCAGCTGCCTTCACTGAGGAGAAGGCAACAGCAGGCACAAGTGCTACTAGCTTTGCTGGGCCCAGCAGCTGGTGGTACCCTACAGAAGAGTTCCCCTGCTTATGGGAAGTTCACACCTTATTTCAGTGTTACTGGAATGCTGCAGGAGCTACCGGTGAAGGAGAAGATGGAGTTGTGGCAAGCTGACCCGAAGCCAAGTTTGACAGTGTTCCACAGAGGTGTAGGCAGCCACCAAGCTGAAAGAGATGAAAGCTTTTCTTGGGGTGTGACCCAAAATGAAGAACATCTTTCCAGCCTTATGACCCCACATCTGTAACAATGACATCACTGAGAGAGGGAACAAATGACAACACCAGTGATCTGTAAGGAGAACTTGACATTGCCTTATTGGCAGTATCTGTCCTCAGCTTCACCCGCCTGTGAAGGGAAGCTGGGAGCAGCAGCACCCAGAACAAGCCCTCACTTCTCAAAAGAGGAAGGTGCTGAGCCACCCTGGGCTGCAAACACATGACGTCCTTCACACTGCACACGGCTCTGTCCTGACATGGCATTCCCATCAGGTGGTGCACCCCTGTGAACCACCTTCTGCTGTGGGAAAAAGAAGTCCATCTGAGCCAGAATCTGCTCTGCTCCTGAGATCTTCTGGGACAAAATAGACACTGGTGGCACAAGTGCAATCATGTCACCAGAGTGCTTTGCCTCTCAAAGGAGAGATACCTTAGCCTGACCCTGACTCTGGAAGTACCCTACATGGAGGCCTTCAGGCTCCAGGCATCCTTCCAGGTTTACCACAGTCTCTTTTTCTTCATGGTTTCTCTTCCAGCTATACTGTTTTCCCTATAAAGGGAGTAAATTCTCTTCTCTTGACCCCAAAAGCCCCTCCTCATGTTCATTTTTTTTCCCAAATTTTGGAGACAGGCAATTTTATCAAGAGCTTTTGTCCTGGGAAAAGAAAAATATCAGTATCTACCAATGCAGTCCTGTCAGCACTGCATTCATGTCTGTCTTGAAAATACCTTTATTACCTCAAGGACCAGCTGGACAGAAATAACATCATATAGCCCAGCAGACTAACTACACTTCCCCATGCACCCTCTGACCCAGGTGTTTACCAACACAGCACTGGAAGCCTATCTTGGGAATGAATGTTGGGGTCCAATATCAGACTCCAGCAGATCAGAAGGATGCATTCATTTGCAAAGTACTCTGAATTATAATGACTGAGGGCAAAGGCTGCTGTCAAATAATGGGAGGACACTCTGGCCCAGGACCCTCCCCCCCCCCCCAAAGTGACTAAGGTAATTTAATGTCTTTTATCAAGATGTCCCCATTCAAGATTGTCCCCCGATCCAAGATATCCTCATGTACAACCAACACCAAGCACACTGCAGTAGCTGGCCAATACTTCCTAATCCCTGGGACCAACTGGGCCTTCAAGTCTAACAAGGAGAAAAAGTCAACACCAGGGCCTGACCCCAGCCGCCCAAAAACTGCTCTTCCCATGTCAGATGGAGAGCTGCAGTTCCTTGAAGGGTTTAAATTTCAATTTTTGGTGCAATTCTGACAGACAGCTTCTTGGAAAACATCAGCGACAGGGTGTGTAAGGGATACCTAACACAAAGAGAAAACACATTCCTCTGTCTGAGAGGACTAAGACGTTTTTAGTCAGAAATTGCATGCCTAGAAGGTAGTGCTGTCCTTATGTGTACCCTCTGCAAGACAGCATGGAGGCTCTGAGAAAAAACAACACACCTAAGGGGTGGGTGGAAAGAATTAGAGACACAAAAAATTAGGCATTTTGGTTTACATCACATTCTACATTGAACATTGGCTCTGTACATAGAGAGGATGAGAATGAGTTACTATTTGTTCCATTAATGGCTAACTCAAACTAAACTTTAGCTTTGAAATTTCAGACTCAGCAACCTTAAATTGTCTAATTTGGAGATTTAAACTTCCTAGCCTTCCCTGATTTTTTTGGCAGGGAAATTTTCTGGATGATTAATGGAAAGCTACAAACAGCATTTGCAAAAGGATATCTATCTTCTTTGCTGGGAAGAAGTTCCAAAACTGGCTTTGTAAGAGGAACAAAAAACAAATGAGACTTCTAAGGCAGAGCAAGCAAACAGACAGTGCAGGTTTCTACTATTTACAAGCCAGTGGTCATAATGCAGAAGGCAAGACTCAGCCCTTGCTGTTGACAGTGGAGCAGCATTCCTCTCCCTGAGTGACCAACAGTGGGACCTTTGTGTCCAGTTCCTCAGGCAGAATTAGGAGCCCCTAGCCACACACATCTACTGGCAAGGTTACCCTGAGGGCAGTGGGGTTCCCAGCTTCAGTGACAGAAATGTGATTTGTAAAGGAACGTATTCAGAGTGTGTGCTTCACTCAGGCAAGCAGATGGCAGCAGGGTGGCAATTGCCCTTCCAGGGAAGTGCCTCTTCTTCCTCATCAGAGATGCCATTTCCCCAGCTATGGGTTGGTAAATGCCTTGCCAAGGCTGCACAAGCCATATCCAGGAGTTTTGCTGTGTGTCCATGGCCACAGCCTTGGTATCCACCTGCAAGAGAACAGGTAGCTCAACCCAAAGTGGGCCAGAAAATCCCAGTGTGTTATAGGCTTTGGCCCCAGGACTTCTCTAAAGTGTGCTGATAACAACACAGCATATTCATAGCCAAAATTGCCAGGACTCCATAAAGAAAAAACAACTCAACAGCTGGGGAAAGCTCCCACCTGCAAGAGAAGAGGCACTAGCAGCTCAACCCAAAGTGGGCCAGATAATCCCAGTGTGTTACAGGCTTTGGCCACAGGACTTCTGTAAAGTGTGCTGATGAGAACACAGTATATTCAAAGCCAAAATTGCCAGGACTCCATAAAGAAAAAACAACTCAACAGCTGGGGAAAGCTGATACTTTCTGTCCCCCTGCCTGTTGAATAAAGCAATACATGGGCATCCAGGAACAACTCAACTCAACAGCTGGGGAAAGCTGATAATGGCTTTCTGTCCCCCTGCCTGTTGAATAAAGCAATACATGGGCATCCAGAACCCCATGCCAGCTGCTTGTGTCTATGGCCAAAGATACAGACCAAGCACAGAAAAAGGAAGAGGTCAGTTCTATCCTGAAAACACACAAAACACATGATGACACGTGCAAGTGAAGCACAGGGAAGATGGTTGGGATTAAACAAGGGAGTTGAACTCTTGTCCCAAACATGGAGTGAGGCCTCTCCAGAGGTGGTCACTGTGTGACACAGCTCACAAGCTCCCAACATGCCAGCACTGGAACAGGAACACTGTAGGTGCAATGCTGCCCAGCCTCACTCAGAAGGGCTGAAAGGCTGAGGTGCCCTGCCCCACCTCTTGCACAGCTGGCTCAGGTCTCTGTCTATGGGATGTGCCATAAAGCCCTGAAGAAAACCCTTCGTGTGTCCTGCTGCATTTCTCCCTGCTGCAGTCACCCCATCAGAACGTGTGTACACAGAGCTCACCACATTCCTGGTGCATGTCCAAGGGGGAGTTGGGTGAGAGAATCTCCTCACACCTCTATCCACTAGAGAGGACCCAGTGCAACAAATCCTCCCGATCCCAGCAGCGTGGGGAGAGCTGAACACCCACCTGGCATGGTCCCACCACAGGCACAGCGAGCGGCTTTCTGGCCTCCGCTGGAGCAGAAGGTGCAGCAGTGAAACACCCCCTGGTGCTCACGGAACTTGTGCTTCACCATCAGAGTGAAGGGAGAGCCCTGCAGAGGACAAGCAAACAGAGAGGCTGCTGCAATGGGTGCTGTCAGATGCATTTGCATTCTCAGACACCATCTGGGTGACTCTGTCAGTCACAGATCACTAAGCACAGCCTTAAACTGCTATGTGGTAGAAGTAATCCTTAGACAGATTTAAATACCTAAGAAAAGAAAAGTAGGTAAAGAAGAAGCAGTGCAAGAGAAACAAGAAATGCTACCTGCACATGTTGCCCTTTCACACAGACGCAGACAGCATACAAGCCTGGCTCCTCAGGGCTGTAGGAAATACAGTAGGTCCCATCACCATTATCACACACTGTTGGCTTGACTTCACTGTGAACAGTGGAGAGAAACCCAAGAGGTCAGTGACTGGCAGAAAATTGCTTTAAATGTAAACCAGAGTTTGGCCTAGAGTGGCTTTCACACACCCCTGCTGCTGGAAGCTGCAATCACCATACAAAGGAAGTCACACAAAGCCAGTTGCACTGCAAGGATTTGTAGCAACCTGCACACCAAAAAGGCAGAAGATGACACACAGCACACTTGCAACTCAGATTATCCCATCAGATAAGAGCCCACAGAAAGGGGGTAAATTCACAGCTTCAGCAAGCAGTTGCCCACAAAAAACCTATTAAGAAGACAGGATATAATAGGGTAGGTTTGAATCACTTTAACCACTCTCCTAACTGCACTGACCCCAACTCTTTCCTTCAATACTGTGGAGTTCTAGGTCCTTGCTGGTAAACTCTCCCTCTTCCTAGTGAAGCTCCTTGTGTTTCACAAGGAATTCTGGTGAACAGAGTGCTAGAGAAAAAGCCTCAGCTGGTTACTCGAGGATAAATTGCCTGCTCCACAGGAAGATGAAAAGCTTTTCATAGACAATTATCAGGCAGCTCTGCATAGAGGAAGGTGTTCTTGCTAATCCCTACTAACCCTACTAATTAGTCTCCCGAGCCCCATGACATGACAGTTTATAATCCGTATTCCCCACCCCCAACACTTCACATCAATACAGCTGCCTACATAATTTCCTGCCATGAACTGTGTGGTGATACTTCATGCTCTTCTGCAGCTGTTGTGCCTCAAAGCAAAGCCAGACAGCTTTCAGCAACCCATTCAGCAACTGCATACAGCCAAGAGCATGAAATGGAGTTAATGTGGCTACAGCAACCTCTACCCCACCAAGAGAAATCCAGAAACCCCTCAGGCATGCACCTTCCTACATTATAGGTGCACTTATGGAAAGAAGGTACATTGGAACAATACTCTTGGACAATGATGCTCTATTGATAAGCATTTGTGCAGCCAGCACTGCTTCTGTGTGCTTTGTCAACATAGCAAAGGGTTTTAGCATCCTGTCCCTTTTTTTCATCAGGTCATCCCACCACGAGTGTTCCTGGAATAAATTAATGCCGGCATCTGATTCCAGCTACTATAAAACAATATAGTAGCTAGAAAACTAACTAAAAACTAACTAAAACTAACTAAAATCAGCTAAAAACTAACCCCCAACTGGGTTTGCTTTTGTGCCTGGCTACTCTTTAGTGACAAGTGTGGTTTGGAAATAGTTATAATTTTTTTTCTGGTTGGTCATTTTCCTTGTGGAAACACTGAGAAGCTCAAGTGCAACCTTTCCTGGTTTTGCTAGATAACCTTCAAACATGTTACAGTACCCAACGCTTGCAACTACAGGAAAAAGGATGAAACCACAACACAGACTCTTCCTCCAGAACATGAAGAAGGCACTTCCATCAGCTGTCAGAGGCTTATGGTCCTGGTGAACTGTCTGACTTGTGACTGTCATACAGGGGTTGCAATGACTTAGGGATTAGGTGTTAACAAAAGCAGGAGCCCCAGTGTCTGCTGGGAGGAGTGAGAAGGAACAACAGCTCCCTCTGCCTAGCAACACACACAGGGAGTTGAACCCTTTAAGAAGCTCAAATCACCCAAAGACTTAATACAAATCCCAGCAATCACTGTCCAGCCAAACACAACCACTAGGAAGCAGTGTGGGAGAAAGAGTAGTGCCTTTTCCTCTACAGATTCTGACCCACGTGCTGAAGCACATTATCCCACCCACCTAAGCAAGCAGGGAGCCAGGATAAGGGAGGCAGAAAGGCTAAGACAGGGATTTCCTGGGTGAGGTACCCACCAGTCCCTCTTGTCCTTGTGGGTGATGGTGACCCGCACAGCCTCTCCTCCCCGCCCCATGCGCTCCCCTGCAGTGTCCTTGCACAGCAGGGTAAAGCCACTCAGCTGGTTCTGACGGGCACTGTGGAGATCTGGGGAAAAAAAACAAACACCAAACCAGAAAGAAACAGAACTACAAAGGATTCAAATCAAGCCATGACTGCCACCTCCCACCTATTTAGCAGAGTTGCAGCCCCATCAGAGCACAGCCAGGACTTTGCTTCCAGGGTTTACAGCTCCTTCCACTCACAGGGAACAGTCAATATAGGACTGGGTACCAGGAGAGAGTGGAAGCCATAGGTTCTGAGAGATGTCTGCAGGTTTAGCCCAGAGATCTGTACAGACCACGGGGGTCTTTTTGCCTGTCACTCTAAGCCCAGCTGACACATTCCCAGAAGGCCCTAAGATGCACCATGCATCCTAGAGGAAGAAGGAACAGCACCCCACTGTGCCCCAGAGAAGTCAACCCCTACAGTTTGGCACAGAAGGGATTGAACAAGCTCTGGGTCTGTCTCATTTGCCCTGCACAGACCATTACTGACCAGAGGTGGCTGTGCTCTGTGGGATGGTCTGAACATTATCTGTTTGCTGGCCCGGCTCCAAGTCCTTAGTGAGCAAATATCCATAAAACCATCAAGGTATTGCCAGGTATTCCTATAGCAATCTCAGCAGAAGCGGTAATGGGAAAAACTTAATCAGCCTCAAAGGGGATCTGCCTGGGCTCATGCTGCAGAGCAGCTTGGACCACCAGCTAATCATCGTGTTCTGCTATTGCAAGTGCCATTGCCATTCCCTGAGTGAGTCCTCCTTGACCCTCAGCCTCATGCTGAGGCTGGTGATGTTGTGGAGAGCAGTGCCATATGCTCTGCACATCTGGATGAGAAAAGCTGCCTGGTTCCCATAGCTCCCATAGGCAGGCAATGCAACCTCTGCTGGGGCTTTACCTCTGCCCTGGTCAATGCCAGAACCTGCACACCATGTGGGTACAGAGAGCAGAGGGGTGACTTCAGCACCTCTGCCCTGGTCAATGCCTGGACAGCAGGGAGCCAACAACACCAGAACCTGCACACCATGTGGGTACAGAGAGCAGAGGGGTGACTTCAGGGATTGGTGCATTCCCATTCAGCTGCTGCACAGCACTCCATTACCTTCCCCATGCAGGGTACATCGGGTTGGATCAACCACTTTATTGAGAATGGCCCCCAAAACTTCATAGCCGCAACACTGCCCTGCCCTCTCATGGGGGGAGAACTGGATCCTGTCATCCACACTGGGGTGGGTGCTGTAGGCAGTGCTGTTGAGCTTTGTGAGACGGCTGGACACCACCCCTTTGGAGATGAGGATCTCCATGTCTGAGCCGCTCATCAGCAAGTGCTCCGTGAACTCCACGCCTGTCCTCATGTCCAGCAGCAGCTGCTGCAGCTGGGCCTTCTGCAAGTGCAGCAGGTTTTCCTTCTGCACCTTCAAGTCCTCCAGCTGCTTCAGCAGCCGGTCCCGGTGCTCTTCAATCGCCTTCACGTAGCCCCGAGCAAACAGGCAGATCTCTGTGGCCACAGCCTCTGCGCGACTGCGGACAGCACTGCCCATCTCATCCACCTGGCTCAGCACATCCTCCAGGGTGTCCATGTGCTGCTGGCTGCTCCTCAGCAGCTCCCGCAGGGCGTCCCCGTGCCTGTGGATGACATTGCTGGTGAGGTCACAGGGGTGCTGACGGTGTCTGCCCAGAAGGCAGTCCCGGCACACGGGCTGGTCACACTGCTCGCAGAACAGCTGCAGCTCCTCTGTGGGATGGGAGGGGCACAGGAGAGGCTTCCCGCCCTGGCTGCAATCCTTGCTGTTCTCCAGCTCTGTCACAGCATGGGAGGCCGTTTTCTTCTGTCTCCTAGGCAGGAGCAAACACCAATCACTTTATGCATGTTGGATACAAAACACAAAAATTGAGACCCTTTGCAAATGCCTATTTGCAACGGGCTGTAAGTTGTAGTGTGCACTGCTCCCTCCTGTCTCCACTGAAATTCCCCAAAAGGACTTGTGCCCTCCCAAGAACTAGGCTCCACACAAAGGAGGAGCTCATTAGGGGCTGCTCCCAGGCTCCCAGAGCCTCCCTGACTGCATGGTCAGCACAGATTTCACATACAGGGCAAGTGAGCTCTACTATCCCTTAGAGGAAAATCTAGTTCAGGCCACTGCCAGAAGACAGTCAAACAGTAAAACATTTAATATTCCAAAAGTCAAACTCGGCTTCCTTCTGGTTGCCAGGTTAGGTCCCGCTCAGAAGAGACCAAGGATGGGAGACAAAGAACCTGTTATAACCTAGACATCTACCATGTCACAGGGCAGCACCAGAACATTTCCATTCTCTGCTGTTTTGGACACTGGGAGTTAGTTTTTGAGAAGGATGTAAAACTCCCCTGTCCTTACTTGTCTCCTGCACTAATGACTTGTGGCAGTCGCAATGGGAGCTCCAAGACATAACCAGAGACATACTCCGAGGACCAAGCTCTGCAGAGTTGCTCTGGTAACACAAAGCAACCTCACCACAGGTTCTTATGCTTCTCCTTTTGCTTCCCAGTAAACTCCCTTAGATCCACCACATTTTCAAAGCCTTCCAGTGCTGCGTGACTTCAGCCTAAGATCTCTCTCACTTGCTCCAAGGAGCACAACCATGGCACTCGGAACCATAGAAACCTTCCCTACACACCAGGAAATCCTTTCAAAATGGTTCTCCTTAGACCTTGTTCTGTTTCAAAATGTTTCCTTAGACCTCTGACATCAACTGAAACAAGTGAGAGTCTGTAGATGTCAGTGGGGTGAAAAAATGATAGCAGTAAATACTACAGGAAGTGGGTCACAGGGACAAATTTTCTGCTGCTTGCTCCCTTCTGCAGTTATCCCTGGCAGAGCAGCAGGCTGCTATTCAAGGTCTCTTATCACTCCTCAGCAGCTCCATGGGGCACGAGGCATTAGCTAATCGGAATGGTATGCTGAAAATTACACCCGGAGTGGAAAGGTAACTAAGAGCCTAAACCATTTTCCCCACAGGCACCAGTATGTGCAGGGGGGCAGGGCAGGGAGGAATATATCTCAGTTCCTTCTGGGGAAAGAATTTGCTAACCAAGCAGAAAGGAGCAGCACACATGGAGGGAATAGGCTGAGTTGCTTAACCCAGGCTGAGGCTTCCCTGGCTTGTGCTGTTGGGTGTTTTTTGACCCTGCCTGTCACCTCCTTGCTTTAGAAGGCCATTTAGGCTTTACATCACTTTTGTTCTGTAGTGCTGTCTGTCCTCTGCCTGGCTTACAGGCCACTGCACCCCTCTCCTCTTTGACTCTTAACTCTGCTGCAGTTACCTCTTGTTTCTGCAATAATTCTACAACACGTATCAGGCAAGCACATGGCTTGATTATCAGCAGGCAGCAACCATACTAGGCAGGACTTCCACAGGACTTTCAGTTTGCCTAAGGGTGCTTTTACACAAACACACAGTAAATGGTCCTGCAGACGGAGAGAGGCAGAGCAGCAACTTAAGGTCCCCTTTTCCTTTGGGAGATGTGTCTTTTCCAAAGTGGGACAGTACAACATGTGAGGGTCTTGTCCTTCTAGTACCTGCCCATACCCATGCCTGCTGCCCAGTGACACCAAACTGTGATGCTAACCAGCATGTGCACACCACTACAGGCAAAGGGTGGCTTGATTTTGGACTCAATGGCCAATAACACGGCTGATGGACCTATTCCCAGGAAGTTCAAGAAGTGTTTGGACAACACTCACAGGCTCATGAGATTCCTGGGGCTGTCTTGGGGTCCACGATCCTTATGGGTCCCTTCTAACTCCAGATATTCTACGCTAGCAACTTGCTCGTCCGCACCCGAGTACAGAGCATCCCTGCGGACATCCTCTGGGCAGGGCTGGTGAGCCCTGGGAGGGTAAAAGCCGGGACTAGCAACTTGCTTGTCCCCACCCGAGTACAGGACATCCTCTGGGCAGGGCTGGTGAGCCCTGGGAGGGTAAAAGCCGGGAGACAGGCCAGCTCCTGCCCTGGCTCGCCCTGCGTGCCCTTCCCGCTGCGCCCTCCCGCCGCCCCCCGCCGCCCCTCACCTGTGCGCCCGGCAGCAGAAGCGGCAGAGGCGGAGGCCGCACGTCAGGCACCGCCCGGCCGCCGGGCCCCTCCGGCGGCCCGAGGCGGCGCAGGCAGGGCTCGCACAGCGAGTGCAGGCAGGGCAGCAGCCGCGGCGACGCGCAGGGCTGGGCGCACTGCGGGCAGCGCGGTGCCGACATGCCGGCAGCCCCTCACGGGCGCTCGGCCGAGCTTTCCCGCGGGGAACGCCTCGCGCCGCCCCGCACCACGGGATCCTTCCCCGCCCCGCGAGGGGAGCGGGGCCGCGCTGTGAGGGGCGGGGGCTGCCCGGGACCCTGCTGCTGCCCGCCCCGCCGCTCCTCCTCCGGCAAAGGCAGCCGGAGGGGATCGGGCAGCCCCCTTTGTCCTGTCCCCCTCACCGGGGGTGTCTCCGCCGGTTGTGTGGGAAACGGCCCCTTCCCACCCCACCCCCGGCAGATCATGTTTCCCCTTCTTCCAGTTCCAAACCTCCAGGTTTACCGCCTGACTGGCCTCTGCAGCCTCTTTGTCGGTCAGCTGGATGCCTTCAGGCCTTGGTAGTTTTTCCTTCGGATCACTGGAGAACTCGCCGCGCAGCTGAGCGAGAGCGGTGAAACTTTAACCGAGACGGTGCGAGGCGGCCGGGCTTCCCTGCGGCTGCCCGCCGGGACGGGCTGGTGCCTGTCCTCATCCACTGCACCTGGGAGTTAGGAATACTGCAAAAGGCAGCCCAGCGTCAGCGAAGCCCTGCATGATGCCCCTTGGACTTTGATGGCATCAACACGATTTTCTTTATCAGTGTGATGTGTAAGCTCTTCAAAGACTGAAACCAGCTTTCCTTGTTTTGAAAAAGCTCTCTTCTATAAAGTGTCTTCTACAGTACCGCATTCAGCCCTTAACAATTGAACTTTTTACCAGCCTCTCCATTAGCTTGCCCAGGACATTCAGTGTCCTACTTGTCCCATCCTGCTGGCAGTTTTGAATGCAATGTAACGTGGAAGAGCATTTGAGACTTCTGGAGTTTCAGTTCTCTAAGTCAGAAATCAACAGCCAGGAAGACATCAAGTCAGGTTTTTGTTTTTAGAACCAGAGAGTCCATTTACAGAGCAGTAGATAAATACTTAAAATCTGTATAAAACACAAGTAAATATTTCCTCTGTAACAAATGTTAATGCCTCTCTGATGCCCAATGGCTTAACACAGAAATCATCTTCTTCTTCTGATACACTCAAAACATTTGTCTCTTTTATGTTGTAATACAAGATCAAAGTATTAGGTCACGATGAAGTGTTTTCAACCTCAAAGCCAATCAAAAGAAGAAAGATGTTCCAACAGCCTTCTTCAGATGAACTATTAGCAAGTGCAGTGGTTGCAGAGGTTACAGAGGATAAAAGCTGCAGTAATTGTGAGACAAGATGACTTGATAACAATGTTCAATATTGTCACAAAGAAAGACTGGTTCTTTTAATCATGCTGGAGGAAGGAATAGTAAATGGCCCTGTAAACGTGGGTGTGGGAAGAAAGCAGGGGAAGAGTCATAATGTCACCTTTGTGCAGAAAAGGTCAGCTACCGAGAGAACAGCATCTTCCTTCACTGCAGAGAGATGGTGGAATAAGCCATATCTGGCAGTGGCAGAGGAAATCTGAGGATCCAGCCCAGCTGATCTGATCACCTGCCCTGCCACTGATCAGGTTGGAGCACAGATTGCTGCTGAGTAATGCACTTATGAGTTACCAGTACAAAGCAGGAGCACTCTCGGGATGGTTAGAGGAAGTTGTAGTGAAATGGGCTGGAGAGAATCATCAAGAGAGTCCTGTGAGACTTGGGGAAAGAAAGGAAATGCATTAAAAAACCCCAAAAAACTAACCCGGTGACCCACAAAACAGGAGCTGCATTAGTACAAACTCATGATTCACTTTGGTTACTTTCCCCATAATATTGCTTTCTTGGGTACTGTCAGTCAGGGGAGGAAGTCCCTACATCCTACATGCCACTACATCCTAAACTGTGGCAGGCAACTCAATGGACTTGTAAACTGGAGTTCTGTTAATATCTCCAATTAAGCACATTGGTCTGCAAAGCACTGCAAAGAACCTGATTGACAGAGCATGTCACATCTTGGATTATTCAGAGTTTGCTTTGTAACTGATCAAAATTTGCGCATGAAAAATCCAATGTGTTAATTTATATACACAATATATATGTGGAGGGCAATAAAGGAGCATAGTTACATAAATGAAGCAATGAAAATGTCATTAAAATTAAGCCAACGTTTTCTTTTTTCCACAAGAGTTGATGGATAGCTAATTATTCTCATTTGACCCAAGATTTACCTGAAATTAAGTCCTCTTTAAACTTGTTTTCCTGCCCCTATTGTTAATGATGTCAATCAGAGCCTCCCAGAGTAGTTGCTCTGAGTGATCTGGTCTTTCCCCACCTTACTTTCACTGCCAGCTCCTTCCTCTTTTTCCTGTTTATCTGATTCTCATTTCCTATGATTAAGCACTAGATCATTACACTGAGATATGGAATATTTGTTTCCTTCTCCCTTCTAATCAAGGACTTCTGCCTAATATTTCCATTGTATCTCCTAATTAGCCTCTTCTGGGGAAAGCTTTATGCTGCTTTCCTGTTTATATTTTTCTGAAGGAATATTGGTAAAACTTTTTATAGCATGTTCAAAGAAATGTCTAAAGTGTAATTTCCATCCTAGACTCTGTGAGAGGTGTGGGTATAGTCCATTTATCAAATTTTGAATGGGATGCCTCATGCTTTCCTGAACCTATTTACTCTGATAATTTTAGGGAGTTGTTTCTGGATATCCTACCATAAGAAACAAACTGAAAAAGTGGCAAAACAGAAGTCATTAGTGAAAAGGACTGAAAAAAAGTCCAAGACAACTTGTTGACAGAAACCCAAGAACTTGTCAAAGTGGCTGAGCTTATCTTAATGGCAGCCAGAGGAGTGTGGAAAATTACCTATTTGGGGAATTTACAAAGAAAAAACACGTAGAACATACTGTTGGCTTCTTTCCTTGCTGACCAACAAGTCCAGTTTTGCTGTTAATTTGTCAGCCCTGGCATCTACTGTGTTTCAGAGACTTCTCTGAATGTGGCAGAGTTGCCAGGCTTGGTCTGGGAGTACTTGAGGCATCATTACCCAGCTGAGAGCTCTTCCCCTATATATCAACCTCATCCAGAAAATCCAACAAAGGATTTACAAACATCTCCCAATTTAGGCAAAACCTCTCCCTCAGTCAGCTAAAGATGCATTTGAAATTATGTGGCAATTGAATGGTGAGAGGAGCATTTCTGTGAGGCACAGATGCTGGTGTCATCCTCAGCCCTCACCTTCTGCATCCAGCCTCATGCCCATGGACTCACCACACTGGGTAAAGAATTTCTTCCTAACATCTAACCTAAATCTCTCCGTTTTCAGTTTAAAACCATGGATGTTTTAAAAGGAGGGTGGCATTTGACCTTTAATTGTGCAAAGACACACAAGTAAATTGCCCCAAGCCTCACACGACAAAATTTCTGCAAAGTGATGGCACATGGGGGAATGTGACAGCTGAAGGACAACACTGATCTCCTGCTTGGGAACACTACCTGGGACAGAGAGAGAGGACTTCTGTCCTGGGATGTCTCACAGATTTTCTACAAAGCAGTCCTAGGGGAACTCACTCTTCAGAGAAACATCTTCACTACCAAACGTCTCCCTTCACACTTTTAAATTTGCCAGCAGCTTTTAGTCTTCAGGCTTGTGTTGGGCTTTGGAGACAAAACTAAACTGAATCTCAAGTTACTTCATTTAAACCCATGCATCTTCATTCTCATGCAGGACTCCAAAGTACATTTCTGTGAGCTGCTGCTGTCACACATCAAACCTGTGCTCCAGCAGGACTTCAGCCACTGCAATGTGACCTGGGAGAGGTGAAGGAGGAAGGCAGTCACACAGCACACCTGGCAGCCTAAACCTCTGCCACTCACTGACTGATGTAAGGCTCACCATCATCACACATGGACTCGGCTTAACTCTGAAACAGCAAACAGGAAGTGGACGGGGCATGGAGATGTGTTAACACTGGAAACACAGAAAGAAAGCAGCAAAAGATGTATGGATTTCTCTTGTCCTCTGGATTTGCGACAGGAAACAGAATGTGAAGTGGTCAAGCATTATCCCTTTCAGTTGGCAGCAGCTCTTTGAAGACCAAAGTAGCTGCTGCCAAACCACCCAGTGACACAGGATTTGTGCAGACTTGTCCCTGCCTTGGCTTCTGACCAGACATTCCTGCTTTCCCCTCCTCCCTGCAGCTTTCCAGCCACCTGCTGCCACTTTCAGCTTTCTGCTGCTATATATATATATTTTAATCTCTCCTGAATCCTGCCTACATTTTCTGAAGGGAAGATGAAACTGGATTTTTTCCAAGGAGGCTTTTCTAAGGAAGCAAGTTCTTTGTGATGTCAGGCCATTAAGCTTTTTTAGCTTCCCTTCAGCCATATTTGAGAGAGGGAAGTGATCTGAAAGGCTGTAAGTTTCTACATGCAAAAGATCATAGAATCATTGAATACTCAGAGTTGGAATGGACCCACAAGGATCACTGAATTCCAACTCCTGGGCCTGCACAGGACAGCCCTAAGACCAAGCCATGTACCCAAGAATATTGTCCAATCACTTCTTGAGTTCTGCCAGGCTTGGTGCTGTGCCCACTTAATACCGATGCTGAGAAGACAAATGGAGTTGGTTTATTTTTATTTCCCTTCACTACTGGGACAATGAGACAGAAGGATATTACAGTAGGGTATTTCACTTAGATACAGCCAGGAACAAAAACCTGGCCTTGCTGCAGGGCACTGAGAGCAGGGACTTCACTTACATGAGACTTCAGGTCAGTATGAGGCATACTTTTATGCATACATGTACACACAAAGAAATATAAAATCTGATTGCCTGCAACAGGTGTGCAGTTCCCTGCAGGAGCAGATGTCAATCTCACGAGAGTCTTTTGTTTCAGACAGGTACAGGCCAGCCTGCTTATCAAGCAGCAAAGCTTGAGTTGGTGAGTCAAATTCTAGCAACAGCTGAAGTTTGTTTCTTGGTCTAGAACAGACAAAAAAACAATCCCCCCATAAAACTCCCTGCACTAGCAGTTTCTCAGACACTGCCTCAAGCTTTACGAGCCTTCAGCATTCCAGCAAACACACTTCCATGACATCCCAGGGGCAGCTTGTTTCTAATCACAGAACACTGTGTGACTCCAGCCTGAACCACAGGAAGACACAGGCTGTGGAGGAGATGGTGGGAGGTGATTGGAGACATCTGGAGTGGAAGTGTCCCTCCCACCTAGAGACTTCCAAGTTAAAGAAAACAGATGACTCAAAGAATTAATTCCAATCCTGTATTCTAAGAGGAATTCTCATTAATTCCAGAGCATTTGTAGCTAACATTAGCA